GAAGTGGTCTGGGTGCCTAGAGTGGTCCTTTAAGTGTGTATGCATCTGCATGCACTGGCGTACATACCGCGGTCGCAGGGGTCGCAGCCCTGTAACCCCTGCGACCAGGTGCCCACCGCCATGTGTTGCGGCCCTTGCGGCGGATCAATTTTCGCACCGGGGCCCCATGGGTCATGTGTACGCCACTGATAGGCATGGCTATCTATGTGTCACGTCATTTGGGGAGAAGGAGGTACGGATATATTTTCCCTGCATAGATCTCACTACCCCTACTTATCCCTGTGTGCTGTGTATAAGGTATAGTCACAAAATTACAATTCTGGGAGTCAAGAGAAATACATACACTTTCTGCTCCAGCTGACAAACTAACTGGAATCTAGGCTTAGAAAGCCAAGCAGCCAAAATGGACTTGAATGTGAATACATACTGAGATTCAAAATTCACCTTAATTATTATATCCCTGATTCAAACCTGCCAATTGAACCTGAAGTTGATATAGCTCCAGGACTCCTATCCTGTCCCCCATTCATGGACAGGTAATTGTATTACTCATGTGCCTGGGAGTGAAAGTGAACTCTGGTTCCCCTCCAACTATTAAAAAACAAAACAAAAATTTAAACCATTGATTTGAATCCTTATTGTGGGGTCAGCACCAGGGGTCTCCTAGTACCATAACCACCACATAGAGCTGTAGCTGTTATGGTGCTTACAATGCCCTTTTCAAATACTTTATTCTTTCAATGAAGGGACACTACTGGGGTCATTTACTAAAATTTAAAGAGCGTTTAACATGTTAGGCCTAAGTAGATGATGTTTAAAAAAAAACTAAATTCAGCTGTCGTTTAAAATGTGAAGTCTCGCCAATGTCAAAGTTGTAATGTACTTTATCTATCTTCAGAGCTATAGCAATCTCTGGTTGAATGCAGTTCTAATGCATACATCTGTGTACTTCTATACCAGACTACGCAGTCTGTTGTGGCAAGCATTCTGCCTGCTTCCTGTCACCAGGACAGCTGATTATATTTTTATGGCACATTTCTTTATTGTGCTGAATTGTGTGATAAATCATGACATCCAGTGCCGATATATTAATACATTTTAATAAATGGAAACACTGTGTCCTCCCTCCACCCCCATCTCGTAACTGTCCTGGATCTGGTGGGCGTGTCACCATTTCACTCCCTGGTGTAGATATATATTTTTAAATATCTATCAATCTGCAGATTGGAGGGGCACTCTGTCACTTGTGCATTTCTTGTTGCAATCTACTGCAGCGTGTTATGTGAAATTACTGTTACTGTAGTTTTATTTTCACGAAGGTCAGAGTGATTTTATGTTTATTGTGGTGTTTCAGTTTTTAATCTATGACCTGATGTCTTGCAGTGCAGACTGGTTTTATGATTTGTTACATAAACATTGTTTGGAATATACAGGATAAACTCTAGAAAACGCCCTGAGCTGTCAGATAAGTTGTTCCTTTGCTGTGACATGTTCCACTGTTCTGATTGCAAATGACCTCTGAGCAGCATAATGAAAAGCAGACAGGCAGCAAGTGCCAGTGAACGGGTTTCTCAGGAAACACCTGCAGGCGTATCATATGACCCCGAGACAGAGAGGTCTTTGCTTCACAAATTACATAGTGCTTTACAAGGTGATGAAAGGTGGGGGGGGCAGAATTAAACAGTTTTAGAGAGTCTAAACCAAGGATGGCCACAAGATAGGGTATGCCATGATGGAACACTCTAGGCACCATAATAACTTTACTTTAAATTGACTGTGCCTGGTCTTACCATAGCTTTAACCCCAAAGTTGTTCATACATTGACCAACCTGCTTGTCTCATCTGCTTTCAGCTCTGTCTCCACCTTCAACGCAGAAGTCTGGGTGCTAGTGATAAACTAAGAGCATCAGCCTATCACTGTATTTCAAGGCTTCCTCATTGAAAGACTAAGGAAAAGGGCCTGAGTGCACGGGCACATCTGGTCAAATTTGGGATAAGGCCATTTGTATACCGTTTTATCCCAAGGGTCCTCAAACTCCGGCCCCCCAAATGTTGCTGAACTACAACTCCCATGATTCTTTGAATTACATAGATAGTCAGAGAATCATGGGAGATGTAGTTCAGCAACATTTGGGGGGCCAGAGTTTGAGGACCTCTGGTTTAGCCCCTTACAATAAGACAGCGTCCAGGACCTGCAAGCACCAAAACAGTTTGAATGAGATTAAGTTGTTATGGTACCTGAAGCATTTCTTTAAGGCTGGCATAGCACTATGAGACTAGGAATTCTGAAGCAGTTGGAGATCTGCCTTTAGTTTAGGCCACCCTGATCTAAATACTGTGTGAATATTTTGTTATATCCGTTCACTATAGCTGCATTTTTCCAGTTGAATTTTCTAAATTAGACATTAGAAACAAACAAAATTGTAATACTTCTTGTAACAGAGTGAATAATCACGTCATACACTTATGCACTCACAGAACATGCTGTCCTGGTTAATTAAGTTTAATTACATGTGTCATACAGTGCATTCTATATCACTTCCATTCTTGGTACCAAACTAATCAATGCTTTCTTAGAATCTCACAATTATCAGAAATCAAATCGTGACCATGACCCATTAATAATGGCAACCTCGGGAGGGGGAGTTAAAGCTGGTCACTTCCTCCCAGATGAGATGACACTGAGCTGCACAGGAGGGATAGGAAAGAGGGGGGTGTAATAGTATGAGTGTCCTTTGTCTCTGTATGTCCATGTGCATCTATCTGTGTTTCTGTGTGTCTATCTGTATATCTGCATGTGTGTCTGTATGTGTTTGTGTGTCTATCTGTATGTGTCAGTGTGTGTCTGTATGTGTATCGCTGTGTCTGTAGGTGTTTCTGTGCATCTGTATATTTATCTCTGTGTATGTGTGCGTATCTCTCTGTGTGTGCGTCAGTGTTTGTATTTGCATGAGTCTCTTTGTGTGTGTTTGTCTGTGTATCTGCATGTGTCATTGTGTGTGTATCTGTATATCTGTATGTGTATCAGTGTTTGCACCTGTGTGTATTTGTGCATATCTGCATGTCTTTAATGTGTATGCGTGTATCTGTATGTGTGTCAATGTTTGCCTGTATCTGCATGTGTGTGTGTGTGTGTGTGGCAGTATATGTGTACATTCATGCACATACTCTATGCAAAACATGCTAACATTAAAATACACAAACATTGCTTAGTGCTAAATACAACCCTTAATGATGGGAAAATGTTAGATATCGAGTTGCAAAGTACTGTGGAAGTTGTATGACAGATTGGGATTTACCTTTTGGCGTTTTTGCGATGATGGGAGGGGCAAAAAAATCTTGCACCAGGGCCTCTACCATTTAGGAGATAAATGTTAAATCACTTTGCCTATGCTGCCCCAGCCACACCTCCCTAAATGTGACTTACACAGCCTTCTGAAGCACTTCCAAAAGAGAGATCTAATAATTACACAGCCTTGTGAAAGAGAGATCTAATGATTAAACTTCCTTTATTGCACATTCTGTTTAATTTAGAATTTATCTCCCCGTAGGAGCCTCCTGTATGTAATTAAAGTTCTATTTATAGAGCAGGGGATAAATACATTTAAAGTAAGTTAACATCCGATTAAGTATTGAACCATTTTGTTTTCATGCAGGCTATGTCAGTCACAGACAGGGGAGATGTCACTAGCAGGGCCGGCGCTTCCTATAAGGCGAACTAGGCAGCCGCCTAGGGCGCCATATAGGAGGGGGCGCCCTGCGCCCCCATCGCCAGCCCTTTAAATTCTGCAGCCGCCTGAGCGCTCTATAGAGAGCGCTCAGGCGGCTGCCACAGTGCCTCACCTCCCCTGCCCTGCTGTAGCGCGGCCGAGCTCCTTTCCGGTCCGCGACCCGGCCGGAATGACAGGAAGTGCACACCGAGTGTGCACTTCCTGTCAGTCCGCCGGGTCGCGGACCGGATAGGAGCTCGGCCACGCTACAGGGCCGGGGAGGTGAGGAGAAGCTGCTGGGAGGGGGGGGAGATGATGATGATGGGGAGGGGGGGAGATGATTGATGGAGGGATGGGGAGATGATGATGATGATGGGGGATGTGGGAGGGGGGGAGATGATGGGGAGATGATTGTTGGGAGGGAGGGGGGAGATGATGACGATGGGGTGATGATGGGGAGGATGATTGATGGGAGGGAGGGGGGGGAAGATGATTGGATGGGAGGGGAGGGGGGAGATGATGATGGTGGGGGGGAGATGGAGGGGGGGGAGATGATGATGATGTGATGGGGGAGAGATGGAGATGGGAGGGGAGACAGGATGGGGGAGGATGATTGATGGAGGGTGGAGATGATGATGGGGAGGAGATGGAGGGGGGGAGATGATGGGGGAGCATGATTGATGGGAGGGGTGGAGGATGATTTGATGGGGGAGATGGAGGGGGCAGATTATTTGATGGGGAGGGAGGGGAGATGTGATTGATGGGAGGAGGGGGGGAGATGATTGATGGGAGGGAGGGGGGGAGATGATTGATGGAGGGAGGGGGGGGAGGATGGATTGATGGGAGGAGGGGGGGGGAGATGATTGATGGGAGGAGGGGGGGAGATGATTGATGGGAGGAGGGGGGGGGAGATGATTGATGGAGGAGGGGGGGAGGATGATTACGGGAGGAGGGGGGGAGGATGATTGATGGAGTGAGGGGGGGGAGATGATTGATGGGAGGAGGGGGGGAGGATGATTGATGGGAGGAGGGGGGGGGAGGATGATTGATGGGAGGAGGGGGGGGAGATGGGATTGATGGGAGGAGGGGGGGAGATGATTGATGGGAGGGAGGGGGGAGATGATTGATGGGAGGAGGGGGGAGATGATTGATGGGAGGAGGGGGGGGAGATGATTGATGGGAGGAGGGGGGGATGATTGATGGGGGGGGGGGGGGGGAGATGATCCTTGCACCGGCCCTGGTCACTAGAGCAGCATAAACCACAACAAAGTGATTTAACTCCTAAATGGCAGAGAATTGAGCAGTGAGACTGCAGAGACATGATCTATACAAAGACTGCTTCATTAAGCTAAAGTTGTTTTAATGCCTAGTATTTCTTTAAATTTGCCATTCTGTTGGCACCCCCTTTTTATATAATTCTATTATTCTGTGTATTACAGATGCTACATAATTATTTTCTTTGAGCACACTTAGCATATTTCTACCTTCTTCAGTAAAGTACCGTCATTGCCAAGTAAGTGCCATGGATTTATAACAAAGAGTCTGAGCCACTGGGAATGTTTTGGGATCAGAGGCATAGCTCTCTCTTTATAAAAACAAACAAACACCAGGCTAAGTAGATCTGTATGGTATGTACACAAACATAGATTCTCCATGTATCTGTAAACAGGATAGCTACAGTATATTGACACATCAAATAAGAATTTGCTACTAAAAGTTTTGCTGCCTAGCTTATAATGGATAAGCACTGACTTTTCACCTGTGTTTTGAAGGAATCTCTGTTGACAACACTCTCTTCGACTGTTTCAACTTGGCCCAAACATGGGTAACTGACAATCAGCCAAGAATAAATTTAGTCAATACCTTAAATTCAAGCCAATTTAAATTAAGATCTGAATGTGTCTGTCTGTATATTAAAGCAAACTCTAGCAGCATGAAGTTGCCATTAGAAGATTAGGCAAAAACCACCAAACCTAATTGATGACACTTGGATTTGTAGAACTCTGTGGAGATATTTTTACATTGAATTTATAGCATAATTTTGGATAACATATTATTAATTCAGTTTCTTTTAATCTGTTGCTTTTTTTTTGCGCTCAAAATGCCATTTTATTTCTAGATAGAAAAGTGTTTTTCCTGCTACTCTAAATGTGTTCGTCTTCTGAAATGGAAATCTTTGCAAAAACTGTTGGACTTTGCTATAAAGAAAACACTTTGCTGGTCATTTTTTTTCACTATTATATTACTTGTTGATCATGCACCGGATAATTATTTATTTAAATGTTTGTGCAAAGCCTTTTGGATTTCTATATATGTGAATAAATATATATATATATTAACACATACACATATACAGGGCCAACTTAAGAGTCCAGTGGGCCTGGTGCTGACAATTATGAGGGGCCTAAGTACAGAATCTTATCGACCAAAAACACTAAAACAGTCATACATCAATTAGAGAGAGATTAGCATATTTTAAGAGAAACTGGATTTTCTTATAGCTGCATCCTATGAGTTTCCCTCCAGCAACATCTCCAGATACAGAACCCAGGGCCGGACTGGCCCACCGAGATACCAGGAAATTTCCCGGTGGGCCGCGGCACCTGATTCAGAACTGATCAGGCTCCTGTGATCCCTGCCGGCCATGTGTGAGCTGTGCGGCTGCACAGGGTCCCATGGGAGCAGGGGAAGCCAGGAGGCCGGCATAGCACACACATGGCCGGCCGTGATCATTAAAAAAAAATTTTTTTTAATATTGAGGCGGGGCGGAGTTTAGTGCGCAGGGGGTGGGGCTTAGCTGGCAGCAGGGCGGGGCTTAGTGTGCGGCTGGGGCCCTGGCTAATGCAGCATGGGATGCAGGAAGGAGTCCCTGCTTCCCCAACAACCAGTCTCCAGGAGCTCCAAGGGATGTGGAGGTAAGAAGCAGGTCAATGTGACTGCCTGTGTGTCTGTCTGCCTGCGTGTGTGTGTGTGACACTGTGTGTGACTGTCTGTGTGTGTGTGACACTGTCTGTGTGTGACTGCGTGTGTGTGTGACTGCGTGTGTGTGTGACTGCGTGTGTGTGTGACTGTCTGTGTGTGACTGTGTGTGTGTATGACTGGCAGTCCTGGGCCCCACTTTCCCTTTCTGCACACATAGATAGCGAATCTCGCTATCTATGTGTGCAGCCGCGCGCCCCCGGCTCCCTGTTACCGCAGAGGGGGCCCAGGCAGCACACAGCTTCTCCTCCTCTCTTCTCCCTTCTCATAACTCTCGCGAGACCCGCGGAGCGTTGCCATGGTAACCGGGTCTCGCAAGAGTTATTAGAAGAGAGAAGAGAGGAGAAGCTGTGTGCTGCCTGGGCCCCCTCTGCGGTAACAGGGAGCCGGGGGGCCCCCCCACCGGACCACCACAGATGGAATCTCCCCCCTCCCTGGACACAAGTAAGCAGGGAGGGGGGAAAAACATTTAATTAAATTAATAAAAAAATAATGTTAAAATGCCCCTTCCTCCCCCTCCCCCCCAGATCATACATTTACACAACACACACTGCATACACTAACACACACACTGCATACACTAACACAACACACACATACTGCATACACAACACACACATACTGCATACACAACACACACACACTGCATTCACTAACACAACACACACACTGCATACACTAACACAACACACACACTGCATACACTAACACACTGCATACATTAACACAACACACACACTGCATACACTAACACAACACACACACACACACACACACTGCATACACTAACACAACACCAACACTGCATACACTAACACAACACCAACACTGCATACACTAACACACACTGCATACACTAACACACACACACTGCATACACTAACACAACATACACACTGCATACACTAACACAACACCAACACTGCATACACTAACACACACTGCATACACTAACACACACACTGCATACACTAACACACACACACTGCATACACTAACACAACACACACGGCATACACTAACACAACACACACACACTGCATACACTAACACAACACACACACTGCATACACTAACACAACACACACACTGCACACACTAACACAACACACACTGCATACACTAACACAACACACACACTGCATACACTAACACAACACACACTGCATACACTAACACAACACACACACTGCATACACTAACACAACACACACTGCATACACTAACACAACACACACACTGCATACACTAACACAACACACACACCCTGCATACACTAACACAACACACACTCTTAAAATCGCTACGCACTAACACACATAACATCCGCTCCACACCAGCACGCTGCATTTCACTGCAGTAACACTGCATTCACTGCACTAACACACACTCTGCATCTGCTACACACTAACACACTCTCTGCATTCACTACACATTAACACACACTCTGCATTCACTACAAATTTACACACACTCTGCATTCACTGCACTAACACACACACTACATTCATTACACTGACACTGCATTCACTACACACTAACACACACTCTGCATTCATTACACACTAACACACACTCTGCATTCATTACACACTAACACACACTCTGCATTCATTACACACTAACACACACTCTGCATTCACTAAACTATGCACACACTCTGGATTCACTATACTGACACACACTCTGCATTCACTACACTAACATACATTCTGCATTAACTGTACACACCGCATCCACTACACAAACATCCTGTATTCACAGTACACACACTACATCCACCACAAATTGAAACACTCTGAATTCACTATACACAGACACTGCGACTAATACACACACTACAGACACTGCATACACTAAACACATTTCATCTAGTACATACAAACACTACATCCACTACACAAACACACACTACATCACTGTACACACACTACATCCACTACTCAAATACACTCTGCGTTCACTATACACAATGCATCCGCTACACAAACACACACTCTGCATTCACTGCACAAACAGTATCTAATACACACAAACACTACATCCATTACACACATTCTAATTCACTTCCACTATACACACACCACATTCAGTCCTGCATCATTGTGAGCGGACTAGGTAGGGCGTGGACGGGCCCGGGAGGAGGGAGGGGCCCAGACCTTGTGCTTTGTCATGGGCCCCAAAATTTCTGATGGTGGCCCTGCCTTAACCTTCTGAGCTGTAGGCTGCCTCTACAGGCTGGGATCTGCTGTCTGGGCTCTCTGTGCTGTGTAACTGCTCCCCTGCGGATCAGTGAGTAGAGAGATGCAGGTATTTGCTGTAACTTCCTATCCCTGCCTCTCTCCACACACACAACGACCCCTACTGGCCCGTGCTGCTGTTGCAGAGTAATCTGTTTATACTGAGAAAGTTACCGGCATTTGTATTGCCGGTATTACTGTAATATCGGCACCGGCCAGGTGGCAACCCTAGGAATAGTGTGTAAAAATTTTTTTTTTTATTATTATTTTAAAATCAATGGGTCTATTCCATGGGCATGGGCATGGGCCTGGAGCTGCAGCTCCATCAGGCCCTGTGTGTGTGTATGTATGTATGGATATATATATATATATATTTATTGCTAAAGAGAAATACACACACCAGTCAAGCCATAAGACTTGATTTTTCCACAGAAATTTCACTTTAACAGTGCTCTCACTACTGCAAGGGATTCTGGGTAGGTGTATGCAAATGAGCTTAACAAAAAACCACATTGCCTCATAATTCCACTTTATACATGGTTTAAAAAAAATGTGGATCTTTGTTGAGCTCATTGCATACACCTACCCAGAATCTCTTGGGCTGCACTCACCTGAACATGCATTAATGGGATGCTGATGGTGGCCAATTACAATACACAAGATCCAGCTCACTCACCTATCCACAGCAACTTCAATGTTGACAGATTTTATTAGTTTTCTCAAAAACACCTAATCTATGCAAAAATAATGGGGGTTTAGTTACATTATATGATCATACATTGCATAAGCCTGCCACAATGTCTATGTACCCTATCTTTGGCAGGTCCTACTCTAACAGCCTAATGTCTGTTCTTATAAGATTAACCCACTTACTTGGGGGGAAAAAATCCATCTGGGGCTCTCTACAGTACAAGGCTAAATAGGGTCAATATATGATCAAATAATGTACCTAAACACCTATTATTTTTTTAAAGAAAACTAATAACACACACACATACACATACTGAGACACACATACACTTACAGACACATACACACACTCACAGACACACACACATACACACACTGAGATACACATACTTACAGACACATACACACACTCAGACACACATATACTTACAGACGCACACACACTCAGATTAACATACACTTACAGACACACACATACAGACACGCGCACACATACTTACAGACACATACACAAATTCAGACACACACACATACAGACACATCCACATTCAGACACACACATACACTTACAGACACACACAAATTATTAATATTAAATGTCCACCCAGCCTCCCTACCTGGAGATCTGTCCCTGGGGTCCAGTGGGGCTTCAGTGTGGTGGGCAGCAGAATTCCTGTCAGACAAGGCAAGGAAGCTATGATCTCTCTGCTATGCTCCTTCGCCGGCTCTCTATTATTATTATTTTTATAATAATGATTTTATTATTTATATAGCGCCATCAGATTCCATTAAACCCCCATTATTTTTGCCTAGATTAGGTGTTTTTAAGAAAACTAATAAAATCTGTCAACATTGAAGTTGCTGTTTAGTGGATAGGGGAGTGCGCTGGATCTTGTGTAATATATATGTGTGTGTGTATGTGTATATATATATGTGTGTGTGTGTATGTGTATATATGTGTGTGTGTATGTGTATATATGTGTGTGTATGTATATATATATATATATATATATATATGTGTTTGTGTGTATGTGTATATGTGTTTGTGTGTATGTGTATATGTGTTTGTGTGTATGTGTATATGTGTTTGTGTGTATGTGTATATGTGTTTGTGTGTATGTTTATATGTGTGTGTATGTGTATATATG